AAGAAGCTATGATGAGAATAGGGGGGCTAAGGGAACTAATGTAAAAGGTTCTATGATGTGAATGGGGGCTAAGGGAACTAATGTAAAGAGGGGGCTATGATGTGAAGGGGGGCTGAGGACACTGATGTAAAGAGGAGGCTATGATGTGAATGGGGGGCTAGGGGGACTGTTGTAAAGAAGGGGCTATGTGTGAATGGGGGGGGCTAAGGGAACTAATGTAAAGAGGGGGATATGATGTGAAGGGGGGCTGAGGACACTGATGTAAAGAGGAGGCTATGATGTGAAGGGGGGCTGAGGGCACGGATGTAAAGAGGGGACTGTGATGTTAAGGGGGCTTTGATGTGAAGGGTAGGCTGAAGACACTGACGTACAAGGGGAACTGTGATGTAAAGGGGGGCTTTGATGTGTTATAGTGCAAACATGAGATTCGGACCTCTGCTGAAAGAAAATTTTACTACTGTAACCCCATGAAATTTAATTCAACACCCCTGCTGTAAATGATAGGAGGGTTTAGTTCCACTTTAAAGTTCATGACAAGGGAGGAAGGAGAATTGAGTGGTGAGACTGGGGTAGGTTTTTTCACAGGCTAGCCTGATTGTTCTTCCAGAAAGCATACAGGGGTTTTTACTAAAACTGGTTCACTCAGAATCTTGTGCACTTCTGCAAAGAAAACAATCTGCTTCCAGGTTGTATTGCTAAAGCTTAATTGAACAAGCTGAGGTTAGAAGCTGATTGGCTGCCATGCACAGGGGCACCAGATTCTGAGTGAACCAGTGTTAGTAAATAAACCCCACAGTGATGTGAGGGGCTACATTTTTCAAAATGGATGTTTTAAGGTATGTATGGATGCTGCCAGTAAAGAAATGGAAAGTCATTATTTTTCTACTTGCACACATTTTGCCTGGAAATTTTTTTGAATGTTTGTTTAAATTGTGAAGGAGATATATTGTTCCATTATTGCCCAGAAAGTTTTAGAGCTTTGTTTATGATCAGTGCTTGCAGTAGCATTTAAATATTTATTTGTTTTAAATTTAAAGAACTCTAATTGCTTCCATGGAAGGAAGAGCCAAGTCATTTATCTGCCCAGCGCATCTCAGGGCTTGTCACAGCAGTGGAGACACTTGTAAATCTTAACTGCTGTATAGAAGGGGAGCCGAGAGAGGCAAGTCACGCAATTCATGGTACAGCAATGGTAATCAGGGTGTGGAGAGTTAGGGGCAAACTAGGACAGGAAGAAGTAAGGGCTCGTTCACACTTGACTGTTTTACCAACGCTTGCCAAATGCCCCTATAGCGTTTGGCAAGCGTCGGTCCGGCGTTTGTGGAGCGTTTTTTAACGCTCAGCAAACGCTCCGCAAACGCCGCATGCGCGGTTTTTAGCAGCGGTTGCTAGACGTTTGCCGAGCATTAAAAACGCCCCACAAACGCCTATAATGAAGTTTGAATAATGTTACCCCTCTGCAAACGCCCCGCAACCGCACCGCAAACGCCGGCTGGGCGTTTGCGGAGCTGCATCATAGTCTAGAATAGGAGGCTTCAACACCTCCTGACTCGACCAGAGGCGTTCCATTTTGACGCGACGCTAACGCTCCCGTTAGAACAGCACCATGTGCTGCAATGTGCAGAATTGTCAGAGGCATTTGGGAAGCGGTAAAAATGCTTCCCAAACGCCTCTCTGCCGCCTGCACACAACGCTAGTGTGAACGTAGCCTTACACACTATTACTAGCAACACACTAGTAACAATCCACACTTAGGTTAGGTTCACATATATATGCGGGCAGGGTCGTGGATAAGGGGGTACCACCAGTCCTCCTGTATGGGGCCCAGACCAGCAGGGGGGCCAAGTATCTGGGTGAATTGGATGTGGGTAGGGAGGGTGATCAGCACGGCGTGGAATTATTGGAACCGATCCCCTGCATGGATCTTCTTGCAGCTGAAAGCTGGATTCTTCTCCTCTTCCAGCTGCTACAGAGATAGTCATGCAGGGGATCGGTTCCAGTAACGGCTCCCCCCCACTGCACCCATCACCCCCCCTCTGTGCACCATACGTTTCCCTCTGCTGCCCAGGACCCCCCCCCCCCCCCCCCCCCCCCAGTGCTGCTGCAGCTTTCCTCCTATGCTTCCCACCGGCAGCTGGAAGCACACAATAGTTTCCTTCAGGATGGAGAGTGGGGGATGGGCCCAGTAAATAGGTCACATTTACCATACTCTTTCTTTCCTGAATGAACACAAGGAGTGATTGATTCTGATCACTCATTGTGTTCATTCGTAACTGAAGCCTCTTAAACAGGTCGGCTGTATGGGGCCCCGTGGTTTCTAACAGCAACCCTATGTGCGGGTGTGGTAGTTTGTGTAAATTGTGCACATTCCTTTACCCACATTTAGCCACACAAAAAATGTACTGCTTTAAGAAAACGCGTGAGGTGTTGTTAACTCCTAACTGAAAAACATGGTGCACTTTTCCTGGATGTACAGTCCAGCTCAAGCAATGCGATTGGCTGAAAAATCCCTGTGGCAATAGGGAAACCCTATGGCGGTGTGTATTAGATATAATAACAAGGCTCTCGTTCACTAATCTGATACCCATCTGACAACATTGCAGCGTTCTATAGCACTAGCATCACTATAGTAACACGGCAAACTTCCAACCCATGAAAACGAATGCAATCATGACTTGGGAAAATCGGCACCAGTTTGGTTTTGTTAGCACAGCTCTGGTAAGGCATGGTAAGAGGAGGGTATCTGGAGTGTAACGTTGCATTTTTTCTACCTTGGTTAACACGGCACTATTTCCACACTGGTGGAGATGTTGATGTGTGCCTATATTCTTTTCATTTATCAATTATTCAATACCTCATTTACAGACTGTTAATAAATCATAAATAAATAAAAGGACACACAGCAAAAATCTTAGACATGGACTAGGCTATTTGGGCTAACATACACTTTGTTAGGTCTCACCGAGATTATTCAGGATTATTGAGGAGGAGGTTTGTCACCAGTGACAACTCTACCAGTGGGACAAGGTCAACATGATGACAACACTGCAGTCATTTCACTGCAGGTAAATAAGCATTGTCACCCTATAGCAGCGTTTTTCAACCACTGTGCCGCGGCACACTAGTGTGCCATGAGATATTGTCTGGTGTGCCGTGGGAAAAATTGCCTCGGCTCACACAAATAGACGGCAAACTACGGCCCGCGGGCCGTATACGGCCCGGCGGACCTTTTAATCCGGCCCACGGAGCGTGATACTGTCAGGATGATCTGTCCCCCTCGACGTATCTGCGCATGTGCCGGAGATTGCCGATCGGCTGCTAATGCCTGAAACTGGCACATGCGCAGATACGTCAAGGGGGACAGATCCTCATAGGAGACCTACACCGGAACGGCGAGAGGAACGCGCGGCGCAAAGGTAAGTGAATTGACACAGGGGGGGCTTGGGGACTTAATATGGGGGATGAATTAATATGGGGAATGAATTACTATAGGGGGGATGAATTACTATATGGGGGATGCATTACTATGGGGGATGAATTACTATGGGGGATGTATTACTATGGGGGATGAATTACTATATGGGGGATGAATTACTATATGGGGGGTGAATTACTATATGGGGGGTGAATTACTATGGGGGATGAATTACTATATGGGGGATGAATTACTATGGGGGATGAATTGCTATAGGGGGGATGAATTACTATGGGGGATGGCTTACTATTGGGGGATGAATTACTATATGGGGGGTGAATTACTATGGGGGATGAATTACTATATGGGGGATGAATTACTATGGGGGATGAAATACTATATGGGGGATGTATTACTATGGGGGATGAATTACTATATGGGGGATGAATTACTATATGGGGGATTAATTACTATGGGGGATGAATTACTATATGGGGGAGATGAATTACTATGGGGGATGAATTACTATGGGGGATGAATTACTATATGGGGGATGAATTACTATGGGGGATGAATTACTATGGGGGATGAATTACTATATGGGGGATGAATTACTATATGGGGGATGAATTACTATATGGGGGCTGAATTACTATATGGGGGATGAATTACTATGGGGGATGAATTACTATGGGGGATGAATTACTATGGTGGATGAATTACTATATGGGGGATTAATTACTATGCTTACTATGGGGGAATATTACTATACTTACTATGGATGACACATACACATCATTCATCTACTCTTGGTCCGGCCCCCGGGTCCAATTATAAAATACTTTATTATTTCATAATAAAGTAATTATAAAATAATTTCTTTGTGTTTGATTCCTATTCAAGAGAATTACTTTATATATAGTCAATATAGGCACAGAGGTAAATTTTTTTAACATTTTCTAATGGTGGTGTGCCTCGTGATTTTTTTCATGAAAAAAGTGTGCCTTTGCACAAAAAAGGTTGAAAAACACTGCCCTATAGCACCAGGTACTGGCAGGATTGGCAGGTATTTAAAAATAAAATTTGAAAATATGAAAAATTACACTTAAATATATGCTGTTTGTGTAATAATTTAAAGATTTTCAGTTTGACTATAAGGCTGGATGTGAGCTATTTTACACATAATCTATTACTCTCCATTGTTCCCGAGCCTATTTTTGGGTGCCCTTTATAAGATGATGCAGGTTATTTCCCTTTATTAAAGCAGCCTGAAGAGAACTTACGAAAATTGCATGCATCCGTCAATTGCCTTGGTAGGTCACCAAGCCTAGGGCTAGAAAGCACCAGAGCTAATGAGTGACATTGTTTAATTGTAAACCTTTTGATGTAATTGCGGTGTTCAGCTAGAATCCATGTTCAACCACTTCCCTTTTTTTAAATTTTGATTTCTCTTATTTATTGTGATTTTATTTTATGTCAAAGCAGTCTTTTAGTACAAAATCATAAAGATGAGATGTGTTTTTTCTGTTTGCAGACGGTTGTTGTGCACAAGATTGTGGTCTGTGCAGTCTCATTAGCATTTTACATGACTGCCACGCGGATATTACCAGTAGAGTACAATATCGATGAACATTTTGTAGAGACCTCATCAGTGCCCACAAAAGTAATATATCTCTACCTGTCCCTAATGGCTGCAAGACCAAAGTATTACTTTGCCTGGACCCTTGGTGAGTTGGCTGGAAAATTTGAGAATTCTGACATCTTGTGGTCAAATTGAGATTTGCAGTACTATCTTCATTCAAATGCTCTGGGAAGTCGCTGTTTTGATATTTGCTCTTGCTTATAAATGATTCTATAACTGCATGTGCTTTCTATCGTGTTCTATAATTTACCTGGAAACAACTGATTAATTTCCTTGTTTAGAACCATAATATAATAAATACTTTTGTTATGTTTTTTTGTTAAAGACTCTGTTTACCAAACTACACTGCTCAAACAAATGAAAGGAACACTTTGAAAACACATCAGATCTCAATGGGGAAAAATCTCATGCTGGATATCCATACTGATATGGACTGGGTAATGTGTTAGGAACGTGATGGTGCCCCATCGTTTGATGGAAATGAAAATTATCAACCTACAGAGGACTGAATTCAAAGACACCCCGAAAATCAAAGTGAAAAAATGATGCAGCAGGCTAGTCCATTTTGCTGAAATTTAATTGCAGCAACTCCAAATGGTACTTAATAGTTTGCAAGGCCCCAAGTGCTTGTATGCATGCCTTACAATGTTGGGGGAAGCTCCTAATGAGACGATGGATGGTGTCCTGGGGTATTTCCTCCCAGATCTGGACCAGGGCATCACTGAGCACCTGGACAGTCTGTGGTGCAACTTGGCAGCATCGGATGGACCAAAACATGATATCCCAGAGGTGTTCTATTAGATATAGTTCAGGTGAGCATGGGGGCCATTCAATGGTATCAATTCCTTCATCCTCCAGGAACTGTCTGCATACTGTCGCCACATGAGGCGGGGCATTGTTGTGCACCAGGAGGAACCCAGGACCCACTGCACCAGTGTTGGGTCTGACAGTGGGTGCAAGGATTTTATCCCGATACCTAATGGCAATCAGGGTGCTATTGTCTAGCCTGTAGAGGTCTGTGTGTCCCTCCATGGATATGCCTCCCCAGACCATCACTGACCCACCACCAAAACGGTCATGCTGAACGATGTTACAGTATCCATGGCTTCCCAGGACCCTTTCACATCTGTCACATGTGCTCAGGGTGAACCTGCTGTCACCTGTGAAAAGCACAGGGCGCCAGTGGCGGACCTGACAATTCCGGTGTTCAATGGCAGATGCCAATCGAACTCTATGGTGCCGAGCAGTGAGCACAGGGCCCACTAAAGGACATCGGGCCCTCAGGCCACCCTCATGAAGCCTGTTTCTGATTGTTTGGTCAGAGACATTCACACCAGTGGCCTGCTAGAGGTCATTTTGTAGGGATTTGGCAGTGCTAATCCTGTTTCTCCTTGCACAAAGGAGCAGATACCGGTCCTGCTGATGGGTAAAGACATTCTGCGGCCCTGTCCAGCTCTCCTAGAGTAACTGCCTGTCTCTTGGAATCTCCTCCATGCTCTTGAGACTGTGCTGGGAGACACCACAAACCTTCTGGCAATGGCACGGAGATGCCATCCTGGAGGAGTTGGACTGCCTGTGCAACCTCTGTAGTGTCCAGGTATCACCTCATGCTACCAGTAGTGACACTGACCCTAGACAAATGCAAAACTAGTGAAAAACAGCGAGAAAAAATGAGTAAGGAAAAAATGTCAATGGCCTCCACCTGTAAAACCATTCCTGTTTTGGGAGTCATCTCATTGTTGCCCATCTAGTGCACCTGTTGTTAATTTCATTAACACCAAAGCAGCTGAATCTGATTAACAATCGCCTCTGCGACTTCACTGACCAGATCAATATCTCAGGAGTTTAATTGACTTGATTCTATACTCTGATTAAAAAGTGTTCCTTTAATTTTTTGAGCAGTGTATAATATACAGTATATCCTGTTAACTAGCTGAATTTATAATGAAATATAAGGTGTTTTACATTACAGGAAAGTAAATGAATCGATCATTGGTCACCTAAAGTTAATCTTTAATCAAACTTGTGTCCTAGCAGCTGTAAGATTTCTCTGTCTTCAGGTGATACACAGAGATAAAAAGAGATAAAAACAAAGCCTCTTACATACATTATATCTGTTTATCTACACAGCACATAGGAACAGAGCTGAGGCTGTGAATCACTGGCTGTGCTAGAGGCCCCTACCTGTCACCTCTTTTCTCTTGGTGTCAGGAAAACTTGTCAGAAGAGACCAACAACACCCGGTCACATCAAGCCCGACTTTGAAATCGTATGACTTACAGTGAAATCGCACGATTTCAAAGTCTGGGGACATGCCGATTTCAGGTGCGATTTGCAAGACATCTGACACAGTTGTCTATGCAAATCGCACAAAACGTACTGCATGTACTGCTTTAGAAATAGATTTGACCACTGTAATTGTGGACAATAGGGTGCGACTTGGCATACGATTTGCAAATCGCGTGCCAAGTCGCACCCAGTGAGACCGGGGTGTAATGCAACTAGCAGAGAAACAAGGCAGCAGACAGAAATGACACTTAATTCTCTGGAGTGAGACAAGGACACACTATAGATTGATATGCTTTGTTCATATTTCACAGCTGAGGATTACAGCCAGTTTAAGTTCCAGGCTTGAACTAGGATAAACAATGTGAGAGGGGATATTTTTGGTGTGTGATAGCTCAATTGCAGTTGTTGGCACACATTTTGGGAGCCTTGAGCCCATTACATTCCTGAATGGTATAGTTTGATCATAGGACCTCTAGTCTGAATATCAGTTCTATGTTTTAAAACTGAATTTGCATCAAGGTCTGGATTTATACTAGTGGACTGGCTAGCTTAGTATCGCACTAAAGAGATTAGATTCTATAGGCACAGAAGCACAGCAAGCTGGGGACAAAGACGCTAAAAGAGCAATGCTACACCAGTACACAACTGAGAACTAGAAGAGGAGGTGAAACCGGTGCCCTACTCTGCACTTTGGTGCTAGATGTATGGCCCCAGAGTGGGTGAACTGTAAGCACACATTGCATGATTTCACCAGCAAAAATGCACATGCCATGCAGGAAACACAATAATGAAGGCTCAGCCAGATGGTTCTGACAGGCAGGATAGTAGTCTGGAACCTTTTATTATACACAGGAATGCATTACTAATAGTAACTTAATGTCTGACTTGCTCTGTGCTTCCCCTGGCCAACCTCCTACCCTAGGGCGATGCCCTTTATTGTCTATGAAAAAAAAAAAAAAACAGTCTTGTCTGCAGTGTACTGTTGCACTTTGGTGAAGTGTACTGATGCCACTGTGAATGTTGGGTGCTGAGGTTATTGTGCTTCCTGTGATAGGTATAAAAGATAGTTTTAACATATAAAGAGATGTACTGTACACACCTCTGTCAAACAACAGGAGCCTGCCTGAAAGGACACCTTCAAAACCCTTTGTAATCATTTAAATGCAGGTTTAAAAGGGTTGTGGAGTACCTATGAGGAAGTGCGGTAAGGTTTACAGCTGCACAGTGAGCAATGTATACTCCATTTTCAAGAGCAACTCTAAATTTTCTTTTTACAAAATAGTCAAACTATGGTGAGTTGACTTAAGTAAAACTGCCTGAGCTAGTCTGGTTAGGTAATAAGTAGGTTTGCACTGATCAGTATATTTGAGAAAGTGGGTGAAAACGTCTACAAAGCTTTGTGGTCCTCTATTTCCGTACAACGAATCAACAACAAATTGTACATTTTCATTCGCTTTTAGCCGATGCTATCAATAATGCTGCAGGATTTGGATTCCAGGGCTATGACAAAAATGGAGAAGAAAACTGGGATCTGGTTTCAAATCTGAACATTAAACAAATAGAGGTAAGTGGCTGTTGTCTGGCAATAAGATAAATGTCAAAACTGGATATTAAAATGTAACTAAACCCTAGAGCAAAAATGCAGTATGTTGCAGCTTACCAGTCATAGTTACATAGTAAGGCTGGCCATACATTATACAATTTTCTTGAGATTTTTGGTTTAGATTTACCAAAAACTATATAATAGGAGGTCAAACCTAACAACACTTTCAATTTTATCCAGTTAGGCAGGCTCTTGCACTACATAGTTGAAGGTAAATCTAAAGGAAATTGGGCAGAAAATTGTATAGTGTATGGCCAGCGTTAATCTGGCTGAAAAAAGACAAAAGTCCTTCCATTTCAACCATTTAAAAAAAAAAAAAAAGTTATAATCCTATGTCCACAGTTGATCCAGAGGAAGGCAAAAAAACCCCAGCAAAGCATGGTGTACTTTGCTCCTGCAGGGAAAAAAATTCCTTCCTGATCCCCCCAGAGGTAATCGGATATTCCCTGGATCAACTTTACTTATAAATGTTAGTATCCAGTTATATTCTGTGTATCTAGGAAAGAATCCAGGCCTTTGTTCAAGCAATCCATGGAGCTGGCCAGAACCAACTCTTGAGGGAGTCTATTCCACATTTTCACAGCTCCTACTGTGAAGAAACCTTTCCATGTTTGGAGATTACATTTGAAGTCATGTGATGGCTGTATAGGTTTTGCTTTTTTGCACCTTTTTCTCCCAGTTGGTGATCCTGCCAGTGGATAATTCCTGTCCTAGGCTGACAATCCCACTCACTGTACTGTATCTATAGAGGACTAGCCTTGTCACCCTAGAAAAGGAAGTGTTTTAGGACTACAGAAGTTCTCCTCTCTATTAGGCTCGGTTCACACTCCTGCGTTCTTTCAAAGTCACATCAAAGTCTTATCAAAGTCATACTTCAAAGCTGCACTGAAAATCGCACGACTTTGGAGTCGGCTAGTGTGAACCGAACCTAATGCATACTTTTTTGCACTTACCAAGCAGATGTAACAAAGCACTTTTAATATAAAATATTTAACAGACCAAACTGTAGTAAATAATAGAAGCTCACTGTTAGGGTTTACATACAATACAATCTAAACCTTAAAGCTGAACTCCTTCTTTGTATTGCATACTTAGATTGACCCAGATTAGCACAATATAAGTTTGAATATTTCTTACATGATAATTGGATGGGGAAGGTGAAAATCACGGTAGTAGTGAAAGCTACTACAGTGACAGCTGCGATCTTCTGGGTCCTGCTTGGGTTCTATGCAAGGCTTCTTCTCTGCACTCTGACCACAGGGGTGCCGCCACCATGCAGTGCCGGTTCACATATGTGCTGATTGGATGCTGTTTGAACTGCATCCAATCCACATGACGTGTAAAATAACATTGCTTTCCATGGTGCCTGTTAACATATGTCCAGTGCACTGGCAGTACGGATTCAGTGTGGATTGAAAAAGAGTCCTGTACGATTTCTGAGCAGTGCGGTCCGGTTCAGGTGTGGATTACAGGCTATTGACTTCTGTGGGAACCGTTTCTAAGCCGCACATTTTCAGTTGTGAACAGGATAAAATCGTGACCTGAACCTGATCTAAACCTGTTCTAAACCTGATGAAAACCTGACCTGAACAACAACTGAAACAATTAGCTGTGAAACCTGAGCTTCAATCCGCACCGCATGTATGAATCCACACTTAGAAAACAGCTTGTATTTTTTTCAATAAATGCAAGGTGTACTGTGACAAATTGGACATCGTAACAGACCACCCTCCTCTCAACCTTGTCCAATCACAGAACACCTTGTATTAATTGAAAATATATAGAAGGTGTTCTGTGAATGATGACAGTGCAAAGTGAACAACCTCCTGTGGTTAGTGTGCAGAGGTAAATTCAAGCAGGACCGGAAAGATTTCACAGAACTGTTCAAGTGCTGACTACTTCAGTAATTTTTCAGGTTACCCAGTGGCCCCTCAGGTATGAGATCTGTATACCTACATTGTGCCAAGCTGGACCAATGGAAGTATGCAATACAGATAATTCCTGTCGTTCATCTTTAAAATCCATACAGGTATGTGTTAAGCCCTATTTGCTCAGGACTTTATTTCTCATGCTGATTTACCTGTAATGCATCAGTCCATCTCAATTGCTTTGGTTGATAGTCTATTGATTTAGTAAGCCCTTTTGCCTACCTGTTTGTACTGCAGGAGAGGTGCTCAACACACCACTGTAGTAACTTGCTGTCCTTTACAAGAAGTATGCCTAATGTATCCCTTCAATGGTTCTGCTTTATCACAGGCACTAATAGGCACCTCTCACATGAGCGGTTAGATTTCAGCTTTTAGCTGCGGTTACAGGAACTTATTTACCGCAGCTAAATGCAGACAATGCATCCCTATGGCTCCATTCACTGCATTTAGCAACGTTTTCATAACATACGGTTTTATAAAAAATAAAGATGACAGAGTCCAGGAGCGATGTACCGCAGCTATCTGTACGTAAACGCAGTTAATCGCAGTACAAAGAAAAAATAAGTAAACAGTTGCTATAGAGAAGGCAAGAATTTACTACCGCAGCTAAACGCAGCCGCATGTAAATGCACGTAATCTCAGATAAAAGCAATGTACAAACACAAGTGATCTCTGTGCTAGGAGTGTTGGAATTTCAAAATAAATGAACATGCATTTACAAGCGGCAGAACAACCGCCTGTGTGAAAGAGGCCTTAATCTTTGAACCTGTCTTTGAAGTTCGTATTTGATGCATATTTGATACATGAAGCATATAGAAAAGTCATGGATCTGAGTTATTGTTATTGACCTACAGTAATCGCTGGGGTGACAACACTTAGGGAGGGAAGGACAGCAGCAGTAGCAGCCATTTAGGCTCTGCTGCAGTGCACATGTGCTGACAGGGGATATACTGAGAGAAGGAGGGAGCAGAGTATAATTATATGTGTCATTAACTTAAACAGATTACATTTACCTGTTATTGGGGTCAGGTCACTAAGAGATAAATACAGCATGAATTTTTTAGTTTTAATTAATCAAGCTGTATATTCCTCAGAAGCAGACAATTCTTGCGTTAACAGCGGAAAGTGAAACATTAAGCAGCAGGATTACTACCACTGCTAAATGTTACAGCTTCTGCTAAGGGATACTGTTTGTCAGGGTTCCCGAAACCACCGGCGTCCTAACAACCAGTCACTCATCCCTGCTTGGCTAATTTAGCATTTAAACAGGTAAAAAAAAGAGGCAGGGATAGGGTTGAAATAAGCAGTGTTTCCCCCACAATCTATACCAGTCTTCAGTTTTCCAACTATATATCTTACATTTTTCTTAAAAGTTATCCATTTGCTATCTATCTATCTATCTATCTATCTATCTATCTATCTATCTATCTATCTATCTATCTATCCCATGTTTTTTCTGCAATTATACAGTGAGAGATGACAGCTAACTCTGGCAGTGTCAGCCTACTGCAATGTATAGAATCTTTGGTTTTCATAGACTACCATGGTATGAATTGCTTGGCTCTCCTTCATTAATCAGAACACAAGCTATATTTTGGGCCTCCCTCAATGCAAATCTTAAATAAACATTAAGTGGAAAGTGTCCTTTAAAAACAAACATTTAATCTGTCTGTGGCCAGGTATTATTGAAAATATATGTTAAGATTTAAAAAAAAAAAAAAAATACAAAAAATGTTTAAATAAAGTATTTAAACAATCCAATAATTAAAAGCAAAAAATTAAACCTCAACATTTACACCCCACAGTGAATTCCTATTAAAAATTCATCTTGTCTCTGCTCTGGGCATCCATTTCTCAAAGTCTCCTCCTTGTATCTTTATGGATTTATGGACCAGAATCCTGTACTTATATTGCTTATAATGGTCATACGACAGATACTTTGTCCTTTGCTTTAAAATACCATGCACATGTTCCCTCTTGTGTATCATAATTTCCCATTTAGTGTGTGCTATATACTGTTTGTTACAAGGGCATTGTATGCAATAGATGGCCCCTTTTGTATTGCAGGTTATTAGATCTTTAAACAAAATTTTTTTTGTCCTGGTAGAAATGCTTTGTTTTGTTTTGCTGCATTTGAAAGCCTTACATTACAAATGCGTGAAGCCCCCTGTAATATGCAGTATGCCTCCTTTCTGCTTACTGCTCTTGTTTTTAACAGTGTGGGGAATTTTTAGGGCTAGGTTGGACAAAGAAGGAAGGAAAGGAGAGGAATTTGTAACTCCGAACAAATAGTTCAACAGGCAACAACCACTATGATATTTTTAACCTAACCTTATATAATCTAACAGATGCTTTAAAAAGTTACTAAATAAATGTTTAAAATTTACAGTTACTAATTGAAGACCTGAATAGCCCCCTCAAAGGGACAAACTAAGTTCCAGATCATGTGGTTCTACTGGATCGACTTCTCCTTCAATAAAGAATATAGACAGCTTCTTGCCAGCCCTACTCTATCTTGTCCTAAGCAGATGCCTTCCCCAGTACACATCAAATAACTGACCCCCTCCATCAGTCTTTTTCCAAATGCTCTTTCCTGCCCTCCCTCTTTTCCTTCCCATCCCACCCTAATTCCTCCCTTCCCCCCCCCCCCCCCCCCCCCCCCCCCCCCCCCGTTACTTTTTTATTCTTTTTTTTTTATCCTCTACCCAGGATGGGTTTCCTGGCTCCCTCTGTTTCTCATGCCCCCTGGGCTCTACTCTATTCTTTTTTTTCTCTCTGGACTTAGCTACATCCTCCCACCCCCCACACCTCTCTCTCAAAAGCTGGCCTAATAGTAAGTCTGATCATACTTCCCTCACCTCCCCTACCAGCTACAGTAGCAGCTCCCTTCATTTATTACCCCCACTTATTTAAGATAAACTAAAAATGTATGCCATCTTGATTATGCCTCATTGACCCATCCCCTATCTTTGTGGACATGGTAGCTTAGCTGCCGCTGATGCTTTTGTTCAGTTTGTTGCTGGAATGTCTCTATACCATTAGAGTTTTTACCATAAAGTGTAACTTGTATCTTATTCACCCCTAGAATGTACACATTGTACTGTTCCTGATTTTTTTTTTTCCTTTTATAAAAAAAAGAATGCATGTAAAAAATGCTCTGGTTTGAAAGTTAAACAATGTCAACACATTCATACAAGTGAACACTTTCTAAGAAAATGATGTGTTAAAAAATTATTATCTAAAAAATCCAATTGAATCAAATACCCTGAGGGGTGACAAACATGCTATACTGAAACCTAAATCTATATTTTAAACAAAATTAGAGATTGGAGTTGGTTTAGCAGCATTTTGGGAATTAACAGTTGGAGTGATCAAGAATTTGGATACAAGCCAAAGTAAGGATGGCAATTTAAATAGACAAGAAGGGCAAGCGGTGAGATCTCTATCCAAAAATTAAAATTTGTTTATACTCCCAGCAGATAAAGGGAAGGTATAGTGTTCGGGTTTAAATACAATAACCCATAAAGGGAATGATTTAGGAATTCTCAAGAAAGCTGAATAAAACTTTATTACTAACAAAACATCAAAAATTCCAGTATTCGAAAATCTACCTAAAATCCAGAAGGATCTTAACAATGCCCCTAGATGTTCCATTTTCTCAGAGATATGGTCTTTAACATCTAATCTCCAATATATATATATATATATATATATATATTTTTTTTTTTTTTTTTTTTACAGTAGTATGTAGTTGCTATCCCTGCATTGAAAAACATTACTGGATGTTCATTACATTTATCCTCTATGTCCTGGTTGAGGGACTACATTTTAGGCACTTTGGATGTTACATCCCTACGTATATATTAATATTGACTATGAAAGAGTTTGTGAAGCTATTACATTGTTCCTACAAGCAAAGAAATTGCTTTATTTGTTTAATACAAGTTTAAAAGAGAGTTTATTTTGGAAGGCTTTTAGTCCATACTCACCCAACTTTTTTTTGGAAGGCCAATTTCTTCTGTCTTCAGACTTTTGGCACAGCTATGGGGATGGGCTATACCATATTCTGTATACCGTATTTTATGGTATATTGAAAATCAAAATTCATCTAGAACCAAGAGATGTATGCTTTGGGCCACTGGAAATATATAGATTATGTTAATTTCTTCTAAAAGGGTTCACATAAGCAATTGGATAAATTTAATTATACAAATCAACACGTAATATTGCTCAAATAATGAAAAAAATAGTAAAGTGCAACCCTTAAATAATTATGATTAAAACATCCTTATTCAAATAATACCAATCAATGGCCATCTTGCACAAAACATAAAAAAAAAAAACCTCCAGAAACAATTTTTAAAAAGTAAATGTGTAGCTTCAAAACACTAATATTGATAACGAAGTCCACAATCCCAGTGCTGTAAATCCAAAAGTCCAAACATGCAACAGCAGACCTTCTTATATAAGTCCCAATCCCAGAAATTAGTGCCACGCTTGATCTTCCACCTATAACTGAGTGGGTTTCTTTAAGAAGCTCCCCTTCTGCTGTGAGCTGGTAATGTTGCTCAAAGGAACATAATACAATAGCCCACAATGTAAAACTGTTTAAGATAAAAGTTCACATTTTTTGCCAGAAATGCACTCATAAATACAGGACACTCAAAGGTGTCTAATACACATAATGAATGAACTGCTGTTTCTCCTCACTACTCTTCCGGTCTCTGCCGAAAATGGAAGTGACTTTACCTGGCTTCTTCAGACACTAAATTCATATTAATCTGTTATTTTTTTTTTGGCAGCACAGCAGTTTTTTGACACGCTTTTAGTCAATATTATCCAAATGTTTGGTAATCATTGTGGATGCATTACTTTATCATTTGGGAAGCGCAGGAGTCTCTTATTTGTTTTGAATTATTGGTTACTTTGAGATACTTAGGAATATCTGTATTTGAGACTGTAGCAGCTACCATTTTATGACAAACGAAGGGCTTGTTGACACTTGTAGGCGATAAAAACAAATGATTGAGTTGTGTCTTTACTGCCCCCCCTCTCCCCTACCACCCCCTTAAGCTGAAAAGACAGCTGGATGAGTTTGTAAACATGCCACGGCTGCAGAAAAAAATCCCCCCCCGCCTCATGTTCAGCAGACAGTCCAGTGCCAAGCTCTACCCTTCAAGTGCATGGAGACGGTGGTGTGGCAATTACAGTATGAAAAAAACACCTCTGAAAAGCAGTTCACCGTGGATTGCTTTTCAGAGGGGCAGCCAGGCTGCTGCCTGTGTAAACCTAGCCTCACTTTCCTACTCTGTTTTGCATCTTTATTCTTCTAAATTTTTAAGTCTCATTCACACATGTCCCTTTAACTCAGTTATTAGGTACTTCAGTAATATGTAATTTCTTTGATAAAGACAGAAGAGGGACGTATTTTGCTATCGCTAATGGCATTTTTCATTTCAGTTTTCAACAAGCTTTAAGATGTTTATTGATAACTGGAACATACAGACCGCACTGTGGCTCAAGAGGTATGCCAGCTTTTTGTTTCTCTATATTGCATTTCTACAGCCATATTTTTCTACTATATATACACCAAACATGTACAAAGAAGTCTGATTTATAAAAACACATCCACTATTTAGAATGTATCCATTTTCTGAGATACACTAGAACTATTTTTTTATAGCTTTTATAAATGAGCCCAAAAGCAATTTCATTTCCTTTTGCTTGTTGGGTTGCGATGGTGTAAAGTTCCTTTTAAATGTACAGAATGCTTGGAGAAGTGAAACGCTTATTCAGCAACTTGGAGTAAAGTACAATGATGCTTTGCCAAGTGCATGGATGCTAAGATGGATGCAGACACATCGCTAGGCCATGCTGCTGGAGAGAGAATTTATCTTCCACAAAGCTAAGACTTCATAGTGCATAATTTCAGAGACAAGCACCAATGTGTAATGTTTAGCAAGAGCCCCTTCCACACAGGTAATCGGTTTAGAACTACCTGTCAGTTTTTCAAACAAACCTGATCGGATGCTCTGTGTAGGTCTGTGGCCAGGCAGATGTAATCGAACATGTGTCCATTTACATTCACTTACCTCCAAGTCTGTAAAGGTCAGGAAAAAAAATGGAAAAGGTCTGCATATTTGTCCTTTTTTTCCCAACCCAAACGTGACATGTTCGTCTGATGTAAACCGACACAACTCCTTTTACATCCAGCCACCCATAATCTAATATACGTCTATAAAGCTCCTTTCCATAATTGGACCTAAACACTAAACCGCCAAAGATGTCACAAAAGTGACTTCCGTCTCATTCTGCTCTGATTTAGCAGAGGATCTGTTCATGGATCCCGATGATACGACCGGACGACACCCATGTGAAAGGGGCATAACTGTTCTTGAGGTTAATCATTTGTGAGGTATTATTGGGAATAACTGTATGTCCTTTGCTCCTCAGAGTATGTTATGAGAGAGCCACCTACAGTCCTACAGCTCAAACTTTTCTACTATCAGCTATATGGCACGGCGTATATCCAGGATATTACATGACCTTCTTCACTGGCAGTTTGATGACACTGGCAGCCCGAAATGTAAGTAAAGATGATCCAGATAGAATTTATTTGCCCACAAGCCCAGCCCTTTAATATACATTATAACCTGTATTTCTCTCAGGTCAAAACACTTCTCCATTTTGTTTATCCACCTTTGTTCTTCTTTTTTGGCTTTGCCAGACTTTAGATGCTGAAGAATAGACACCTAGGTATGGGGTCATGGGACTTGTATGGGGTGTGCTGAACTACACATCCATAAAATATGTTTTACAGACTTGAGAGTTTACAAATGGAGCATGTTTTATTTAAAATGAACATCTTCTAGTTCCACTTAAAATAAGTCAGTTATCTGATGTTTTCTAGGCTGTATGTAAGCAGGTTGCAATGTAGCAGGGGAGTTAGGGTTAATGTTTTTCCTGGGTCTTTTGCTTGGTGGGTTTCTTTGGGCCTGACTAACTGGTTCTGTGTCTATAAATGAAGGGCAGTGTTCCGGAGCTGAGAGCCTGAAGCTGAGCTCTTCTTCTTGGGAAGTTGTAGCACACCCACTATGCTAATTTCTGGGAGCCTGCCATGATGTGAGAGGTCATTGGGTCCTGGGGCTCGCTCCTAAGACACCGGCCACTGGAGGATACCATCTATGGACCTTTTAGTACATCGACTTCACCTTTTTGCAGTTATGCTAAGGCAGCACATAGCCTGAGTTAGGATTAGGGATGTAGGGACAAGAACTGACTATACTGTTGACTTTGTAGGCTCAGAGTCTTTTCTTAAGTAAAGAGTTGAAACTTTGCCTTCTTCCTGGTCTGAAGTTATTTAAAGGAGTGCAGAGCAAGCAACAGGCATATTTGCACAGCTTGGGTCACTAGCATATTGGGGTATAAAGAGACAGCACTTAAGAGTCATCCTGGTGCAGTACAGCAAATGTTTGCCATGGATAACAGAAGTCTACCGTCAGTTAATGCAGCCTGTCGGTAGCGTATATCTGTTACAGGTGGAATGCCCTCTAGCAGCAAGGGAGATGTTGTTGGCACGCCTTTTGCCAGTGATCTGTCTCCCATAGCAAAGGGAGCAGAGTAGAACTGCAGGGGTCTCCATCCTGTACAGAGGTACAGAAGTCCAAGAGTCAAGTCAAGTGCATATATGGAGCATGTGCCAGGTGCACAGTGGAGCTCTATTCCACTACTGGAAACGATAGTGGAAAATGCTGGTCAGGTGAATGTGGACAAGGCTCAGAGTGTCCCTCCTAATTGCAAGTCTACAGGGAGAGTGTACATTGCCATGGGGACCTAAGGGTTATCTGGTGAACAGTTATGGTGCAAGTGTACACAATGTATGTTCATCTCTAAGAGTAGAGGCCCAGCCTAATGTGACACTACAGCTTTGTTTTTTTTTTAATAACAAACATGTCTATACTTACCTGCTCTGTACAGTGCTTTTGCACAGAGCAGTCCTGATCCTCTTCTTTTTGGTCCCAGCCGGCGCTCTTGGTTCCTCTCCCTCGAGTATTGCCCCCAGAGAAAGCCGTTCACTCTGGAGCAGGGGCTGACTGACAACTCATGGGGCCCCCGGGCAATAGGGGATCATGGGGCCCCTGTGTCCTAGCCCAAACTCAAAAAAGCCTATGAAAAAGGTACCAGGGGCATCTCATGGGGCCCCCTACTGACCTTGGGCCCTCGGGCAGTGCCCGAGTTTCCGAATGGTCAGTCCTCCCCTGCTCTGGAGGCACCGCTGTGTACTCGTCCCTGAGCCACTGCTCTATGTTTCCATTAGACACATAGAGCCGAGGCTTGGCCCCAGCCTCATTGTCTCCTCATTGGCTGACTGGCTGTGATTGACAATGAGGAGAAAGAGTCCCCAGACAGCAGAGTCTGTCATGAACGTTGCTGGATTGGAGGGAGCTCAGGTAAGAATTGGGGGGGGGGGGTGGCTGGGGGGAAGGTCACTGCTCACAGAAGGTTTCTTACCTTCATGCATAGAATACATGAAGGTAAAAAAACATGAACCTTTAGGAACCTTTAAGGTGGAGTATTCCCCCACAGTGGCCTCAGCCTTGTCCCAGGAAAAATGGCACAGAGCAAAGGTACCCTATATGTACTCCATATGTGAAGTGGAGATCCTGTTGCAGGTGCCTAGTGTAGCAAAACAACCCACCCTGGGGTAGGCCTCACCTAGTCTTACATGTATCATATTAACCTACCCTTACAGTTGGTTTTCAAAATAATAGCAGTGTGTTGAAAAAAGTGAATAAAGCTCAAAATCCTTCTAATAGCTTTTATTTCCATACACACATATGCATTGGGAACACTACACATTCTATTCCAAATCAGAACATGAAGAAAAATATATCAAATTTGTGTTGTTCCTCTAAATAAATTGAAGAAAAGTGAATATTAGACATTTCAATAAAATAGCAGTGTTTGTATTCTTCTTTACAAACTCAAACATTCACTATATAAACTGAAAAATGTTTGAAGATTTTGCTTTCCTTTGAATCACTTAATATTTTAGTTGTATAAGCACTGTTTCTGAGAACTGCTGTACATCTGTGTTGCATGGAGTCACCCAACTTCTGGCACCTGTGAACAGGTATTCCAGCCCAGGATGATTGGACTACATTCCACAGTTCCACAGCAGCCTATCATTTGTTTTCCCCTCTCCAATCAACTTTTTAATCAAGGTACGCTGTTCTTCTGAACAATGTCTGGAACGACCCATTTTCCTCAGAATTTCAGAGAGAAATGCACTGTAACCAGCATTGACAACATTTGCTGCCTTCCTTCCTTAAATAAGGGCAATAATTGCCACATATTTTTCAAAGAATGATTGACCTCACTAATAGAACTCCACACTGCTATTATTTTGAACATGCCCTTTCAATTAGTGATTCAATTACACAGAATCAGCAGCATGCATGTCATGACTGTTGGGTCTGCTGGATTTCTATTACTCTACTACACCTGCTAGTAAATTATTTGCCATGTAGAAATATAATTTTTCTTCCAAAAACAGTGATTGATCAGGTTAGTGATGTCTGACTGCTATTATTTTGAACACAACTGTACATGTATCTTATTAACATGTAACACATGGCGTGACAGGTTTTGTGTGTTGGATTTCAAATGGCCTTCACGAAGTCCAGATCTTACCCCCCTACTGAACACTGTTGAGATGAATTTGACATCAATGCAAGCCATGTCTTATTGTCCAGCATTCATACCTGACCTCACAAACATACTCCTGTAAAAAAGCCTTTCTAGAAGAGTGGAGGCGGATACGGACACAATGGGGGCAGCTCCATTTTTTATTGTTTGTGGTTTTGGAATGGGATAGCTATCATAGGTATAGGTGTGTTTGGTCAGGGATCTAAAATATTTTTGGCCATATAGTTTATTTGTAGAGTGTACAATGTCTTGATACTATATCTGTTGTTCTGTGTTTGTTTATGAAATAGCATTTCATAACATTCCACAGTATAATAATTAGATGTTAACTGTACAGAGTAAACCAATACGGTATTATACAGAAGTTTTAAAGAATATTTTTAAGGTTGACACAAGTGGGAATAGTCATCTTCAACATCCCTGTTTGATTTTTTGGCTGAACAACAAAGCATATATAAATATTTTTTTGCATTGGTGTCACAGTGAGAGAGCATATTAAGTTTGGTATTGTCTCTCTTACCGTATATAGCGCCATCAATTTATGCGGTGCTAAACATAAATACTGTTTTTTCACATCAGGCCCTGCCCTTAAGGCGCTTACCATCTAAGGTCCCTAACTCACATACACATACTAGGGCAAATTTAGACAGCATGTCTTTGGAGTGTTGGAGGAAACTGGAGTACCCGGAGGAAACCCATGCAGACCCAGGGAGAACATGCAAATTCCGTACAGCTAGTGCCATGGTTGGTATTTGAACTGACAACCCTACTGCTGCTATGCGGAAGAGCTAAGCACTTAGCCACTGTGCTGAAGAAATTTTTCAAATCTCAAATCCAGGCAGATATAAATAACACAAACTAATAGAGCTCTATTTGCATTAAAATATCCTTCAATTTTTTATTTAATTCAAGCAGGATAAATTTGATGTAGTGTCAGCCCTTTGCAGTCTTTGTAGAGCAAAGCTCAGACTGGGGAGGGAGAAGCAACAGAAGTAGCCAATAAGTTGTGCTGCAGTGTAAGGAGCATGCTGATAAAAGAGAGCAGAGTGACTGAGATATGAGCTTATCAGTCAGCTGATTCTACTTTCATGGTCCAGTCATATGGTGGGGGGTGGGAGAGAAGACCTGAATTGCAGCACAAAAAAAAAAATCAAGTCCACTCTTCCCTGGCAGACAGGGCTGTGTTGTATGGCAGAGCTGTGTGAATCTCAGGACTGGATAGGCAGAAACAGAAATACTCTGGCAAGTAAAACTGACCCAATGCATATATATATATATATATATATATATATATATATATATATATATATACACACAGTCAAATATATTGGCACCCCTGCATTTCTGTCAGATAATGCACTGCATTTGTAATTGCACAAAATTGTTGCAATTCCAAATGTTTAGGCACTCTCATGTTTATTTTTTTTGTTTGTATTGGTATGAAACAAAGTGGAGAACAAAAAGCCAAATCTTACACATTCCACGCAAAACCCCCAAAATGGACAGGACAAAATTATTGGCACCCTCAATTTAATATTTGGTAGCACAACCCTTGGAAAAAATAACTGAAATCAATCGCTTCCTGTAACCATCAATGAGTTTCCTACACCTACATTTTCTGGAGTTCAGTCTTAACAGGACTATAGCTGTTTAACAGCATAATATATCTTTATTTTTGTTTTTGCAGATTAGAAACAATGTCCGACACCATTTTCTACGGTCTCCTGAACTCAAGTTTGTATATGATGTCATGACGTGGATGGCAACACAAGTGGCAATCAGCTATACTGTGGCACCATTTGTGCTCTTATCAGTAAAACCTTCTCTACAGTTTTACAGGTAAGTGAGACAATCAACTGCCTATTAGTGCTCCATCATGTTAGTTGAGACAACTCAGTGTTTCTCAAAGTGTACATATTTCACTGATGGGATATTGGCTCACATGAAGATACTTAGTGTTTTAAGATCTAGAATGGAGCAAATGCTCTCTTTGGACTTGGGAACAGTGAACAGGTTAGTGTAAAACCCCTGGAACCAGGGCACTGCTTTATTAAAGACTTGATAATTTTTTGTTAGCACCTTTTTATAGTCTTTGATTTTTTTTTTTTCAATCAAGATTCTTCTCTGGACAGCTGGCGGACTTTTGCATGATGTTTGCAGCACTGCATTCAGACCCCAGTGGACTGGATATTGTGGGGATAATATGGAAATAGCCTTCCAGCACTGGCATCCTCGGGGGTAATTTTCCAAACTCCATTCTGGTAAAAGTTAGCTGCAGAGTGCTTTCCAGGTCAAAAGCTCAAAAGCTACTGGCATTGACTCAGAACTTGCCCTGTTTCTAAAGACTCGGTGAGTAGGATGTGGAGCCAAGCATCGGGAGCTAATTAATTTGCTTAGGCCATTGAGCACTATTAACCACCATTCCTGTTGCGTTTGCCGCGGAAGGGGTTAATGCTGACCGCATTCACTGGGTGGAATATTCTACGCACATCACCATGTATTTCCTACCACACAGTATCAAGGAAACATTATCTGCTGCTGCTCCTGCTTGCAAAAACTCACATGGCAGTTTTATCTTCAATGTGTTCTTGGTCACCTCCTTGGTCACCTCCTTGATCGCCTCCAGCAACCTGACCATCACCTGCTACCAGCTGTCCAGGTTACATGGGCTCCTGAGGCCCTGGCTGTTACCGTGAGCCTCAATATTGCCTTATTGCCATGCAGTTGCAACATGTTTAATTCTAGACATGGGGAGGGCAGTCCTGCTGTACAGTGCACCTCCAGCTTATATTCCTCTAATGGTCCTGAAGCTGCTTGCAGTGCACCTCCTGACAGCCAACCTCTGCAGCTTGGAATCATGTTATCCTCTGCTCTTAGAATTGCTTCCATTCTTGGAGTCCTCTTTGGTTCTGTTGGGTGTGGTTGGACTCCCTGTCCTTTCTGCTGAGGTTTTACCATGGTCACGCAAGACTTTATGACCCAAATAAATCAGTTTTTTGCTGGCTCTGTTCACAGCGGCCACAAACATACTACTGCACCCTCCCCTGTAGATTCTGTATCTGAATTGCCTGTGACCTTAGCAGCTTCAACTATACAGACTCTGATTCTGAGACGCTCTAGTCTTTCACTGATGAGCTTACGCCTGAGGAGCCACTGTCTTCTGATATTACTCCCAATTTAAAAAAGACCATTTCAGCTCTTATTGTTGAAACTAGAGGATGACCTTGTTGCCTCCACTAATGAGGCTTCAGTCTTGGGTTGTTTAGAATTCCTATGGCCATAACGACTTGTTCCACCTGTCTCACAAGGTCTTACTATTTCTGCAAAGGGTACACCAAACTTTAAGGACCCTATCGATAAGCATTTGAAAACTCTTTCTGTTCTTGCAGGGAGGTAATGCCATTCATCTGATTCTGGCTGTGACAATACTTTTTCAAACTATGTTTCGCAATTAAAATCCCTGAAAAGAGATCTAACTGCTATTGCAGTTAATTTCTCACTTTCATCTGTGATGGTGTTCTGGAAGTCTCCCATCTCATTCCTTGCATGTGTCTCATATCAGTGCATATGTTTAGGGTACTTTAGCTAAAGTGCTGGACTGGAGAACCCTTATATGAGAAGAAGGTGATCCACATCACCTTCAAGGGGCAGTGTCTCTTCAGACCAGCTCTTTACATCATCAAAGATACTATTGATGGCAAGAGCACCCAATCTTTCTCAGCAGAAGAAATCCAAGGAACAGACTTCACAGATTAGCAGATCTCTATTGAGACTCCAAAAGACCATTCCCTGTGGCAAAATGGATCCAAGGGTTTTACTTACTAAGCCCAAGTCCAAAGCCCCATACTGGATCACAAAGTTCTAAATGTTATCAATTGAGTCCAAAGTTCCGTAAATCTAATCTTCTTCTCTACCTTCCTTCACGAAGGAGACTTTCTGGCTTCTGTAAGCATTAATGATGCTTAACTACATGAAATTATCAATAAATTCTGAAAACTACAGAAATTGTGACTAAACCCAAGTGATTATTTGAGAATCTGGTTCCAGTCCTGCACACACCTCAAACCAGAGTCCTCTTTCCACTGGAGAAAACTTCAGATACTCCAACCCATGATTCAGACTCTCCAGTCCAGGAGCTGTCTAACTCTACATTTCTGCATGAGAGCCCCAGGTCTGTTGGTTGTCTATTTGAAAACAGTCTCATTTGCCAAGTTTTACTCCAGATCTCTGCAACATAACATTTTGTCAATCCAGTCCCTGGACAGACCATTCACCTATCAGCAAGTAATAGGTTGTACCTGGCCTGGTGGCTTTAGAGTCAGCAAGGTTTCTTCTTCCTGTTTTTTCAAGAATCCTCACAACAGATGCCAAGTGCAGGGAACTTTGGCGTTGGAGGAGTCTTGTCTCCTGATCAACATTGCAGAACTTTGCTTGATTGAATTGGATCAGATCCTGTCCTGGGCAGAACTTCATGGTTCTTTCACTTACAACGTGGTGTGAGTTTACTAATCATGAGTTCAGTGTCTGAGCTGGCGAGCTTATACTGCAAAGAATGCATTCTGTTTTCTTATTCGCAGATGACTTTCACTGCACTTCATAAACCACCCTATGAACCTGTTGGAGACATTCCTTTCTCTTCTTTCACCTGCAAGGTTGTGCTACTTTACCAATCATGAGTTCAGTGTCTGAACTGACAGGCTTATCCTGCAAGAAACCCTTTCTGTTTTCCTCATTGGAGCAAGGTGGTTTTAAGGCCCAGGACTTCCTTCTAGCCAAACGTAGCTTCTGCCTCACCCTAACTGGGACATTGTTCTTCTATCAACTTGTCAGGCTTCAGTTAACTGAAGAGAAATTCCCTCCATTGTCTGGACATGGTTCAGGCTGTAAAAATATCTGAGCCACTGCTTCTTTCAGGAAGAATGATTCTATTATTGTATTCCATGATAGACCCAGTAAGCATGCACAGGCTTCTCATTCCACCATCTCTGGGTAGCTCATATAGATCCCTATCATGCCACTTGATCTTCTGTTCACACATTCCTTTTGTTCTCCCAGGTGGCAGTTTTGGTCTCCTCAGATACCAGCTTTGAGCATACAGTCCTTCAGAGAGCTCTTTGGGTGGCAGGCAATCTCTAGTTTAGATTAAGGGCTTCCTGTGTCCCTCAATGAACGAGAAAGAAAATAGGATTTTTATACTTTTGTAGAACCATTTTCTTGGAGTCCATTGAAGGCCACAGGTCCCACTCCTCTGTGTTTATGATAATGTTTTCTTTGCTAGAATACTGGGGCATGCTGATAGTAGAAGGGGTTATCTCAGGCTGGCCTACAGGTTTTTTTTTGTTTGCCAGTGTCCAATGCTCCTGTAGGTGGATGAATAACCTGAAGAATGAAGACTTCCTATGTTCCTCAATGGACTCAAGAAAACTATTTTATCTCAGCATCTCTCTCAACATTCTAAAGTACCAAACTAACAGTGGTCACACTTTCTGATTGTACAGTGTAGCATAAGGGCTTTTATGAACCTCCGTTCATTTTATATCCTATCTGGATGTCCCCCACATCTCAAACTGTAGTTTTTCTGTAATCGTACATTCAGATTTAGCTTGAGTGGGCAGGTTAAATCAAAACTTTGTCTTGGAAGCCACTCTGCATTTAGGATCTACCCACCTCTGGAGGAGGAAGAGAGAAATAAGACCTGTGATGTCATTAGACAACACCTGGAAAAGGTATGTATAGGGATTTTTTTTCAAAAATGGGGGGTGCTCCAAGGGGAACCTGACACTGGAGTTAGACCTTAAGGTCCCAGACCTCACACTGATCAAATCAACCACATCTAGAGATGTGTAAATCCATGTTTATTGTACTTGAGCTCTCCTTTTTTGGGACTGTCAAAAAGCATATGTAAGCAATGCATTTGCTTCTTAGTAAAATAGACTTTGCTCCTTTTGGTAGAAGATATATTAGTTTTACATACAGAAAGATATGTTGATTTATGATTCACTTCAATACATGTAATTTACTTTTTTTTAAGCTCCTGGTACTACTGCCTCCATTTTGTGTGCATATTGGTGCTGCTGACTATGCCAGCTCGTGCCCGGAAAAAAAGAAGCACAGAAAAGGAATCCATTGCTCCCCTTCTAGAAAAAACAAACAGTGAAGAACCTATTTCTGAACAGAACAGCCATGCTACGACAAACAACAACAGCAGTCAGCGAGAAGAGACAGCCTGGAGACGCCCCAGTGCCCCCCAATGACTGCCACATGACTTTTTGTATGTTTTTAAAACTCCAATTTTAGAACCTCCAACTGGTTTGTGAATTGTGCACAGGAGAAGACGGTATTACAAAACATTCTGTGAGGATAACACTGCAAGGGAATCTCAATAACCCCACGATGCCATGCCATGTGGGCCTAGCCTTACAATATTTCCATTATTTTATAATGGGCACTCAGGACTTGTAACATACGCTCTTAGGACCATGTTACGTGGGTATTCCTTTAATGAACGTATGACGTCTCCAGGCATTGCAGGGGTTACACAATTTGGGCACAAAACATAAAGATCCAGAAAAATCTTTCAGAACCCTTTTGCCTTAATCCCTCTCTCTACTGAATGAAATCACTGACTTGTTGTAAGCATAAGTAATCTTTCTACTAATGGTGCTGCCAAGAAGGGTAGTATATCCAATGAGGAAGCAGTATTTTTAATAGTTCTATAGAATAGTGGATAGAGCTCATTTAAACAAGATGATTAACGAGACTGACCATCCTGTGTTCATTCAACCAGATGACATGAACCTGTGTTTATAGCAATCATGTCAAATGACTGTTGTACTTTAAAGGCTATACGCTTTCTCTGAGGAGCTGGGAGGTGAAGGGGAGAATGAAATGTGTCATGTAGATGCAGACATTCCATTTTGGAAATTGTATGTCTAACAGCTAGTTAGATGCACTCTGTATTAGAGTGTATTAAAGTTCTTTTTATCACAAAAATCTTGGTTTGTGACCAGCTTCTGTCTTTCTCTGTCAGACAGTGGATTGAACTAGGTACTGCAGGGACCTGTAATCTGGCTGCTTGGCATCACTGGCAGGTTTTGTGGTATAGGCTGGGAATGGACAGTTCTCATGTCTGTTTCACAGGCATGGTTCACTCAGCAGCAATACGAAGCCAAAGCCAGTATTACGCTTCTCATGCACTGGCAGTATCTAAGTGGCAACATACAGAGGACATGGGTCTCTACCCGTGTCTAAACACATGGCAGAGTGCAGGCGTATGGGATGTAAAAGCCGCTCAGGCTACGACTTCACAAAGGGAAATCACAGATCATACCCCTTTTACTTTTTTCTAATGATCCCAGTTTCCAGGAGGTATGTGCAATCCCCCCTCCTCCTTAACCTTCCCCATGTATCCCTACACTTCCCCAATAAAAAGGCCAAGAAGTGGATTTATCCTTTTAATCGGTAGGCATTTTGCAACAGACTGAGGAAAGATGTCTTGGGTTTTTTTTTGTGTTATTGGACTAACGTGTTCTCTTTAAAAGGTAGAACAACTCAGCAGGTGTATCATCCTATGTCACTATATGTTAAGACATTTCATTATCCTTCTACTTAATGATGTGGGCAGGCACTATGTGAAAGGGCAGAAAGGTTTTATATGTTTCCTTTTATCTGGTCACAAGGATGTAGGAAGACTTGTTTTACCACCTTTCATGTTTTTTGAAATATATATTATGTGATTCATGTTTACTAATGCATAGAAGTCCTAGTTTTTAGAACTATGAATCTTTTGTGGCAAAATTGACAGCAAACACAATAATTGGTTTGGTCTAGCTTTAGATAAAACTAGAATTTTATATATAAGAAGAGTTCTTGGCAGATAAAGAAGGATTCCACTCAAAATCCAAATTTGCATTTTCCATGGTGGTCCACTCTAATAAGGCAAAATACAAATCTTACCTTTGTGTCCCTGCACCAGTGATAAACCAGTGTAAAGGTTCCATATCTGGCACTTCTGCCTGTATATTTCCCATTGTCCGCTCTGGGTTTTCAATATAGTAAAATATGATTGCACTTCTTGGTGGAGAAACTGTACTTTTCTAGGACTTTGCATGGTGTACTCACAAAAAAAGGGGCACTGCACCCCATACACCCCTCACTACACAGTAAGTCTTTGAGCCAGGAAAAGTATGTTCACAAGTTTGTTCTGGATCAGTGACTGATCAAGTAGTGAAGGAAGAATAAAGGTGACACCCTCAGAACATGCACCTTCAAAAACAAGTCAGCACTGGCAGTTCCACATTTTTCAAACGTGAGAGGTTTCTAAGTACAATTGTGCAGTAATCAAGAGGTGCCTGCATGGACAACCAGACATCTTGATGTGCTCCCCCAAAGGCCTGAATCCTTAGGTTCTCAGTTATGCAAATGTCTAACTTAGCTCAGCAAATTAAGGTATGAAAACCCTACCAATGAACCTCTCTTATTTGTTCCCGTTTGGTCTGTGAAATATGCCAGAAATTGTTTGTTATATAAGTTCAAAGATTTACCTGTTGAGTATTCCAGAAATGTCATGAACCGATAATTTCCTGTGCCTGTGCTGACTGTTGTCAATTACATTGTTCCAGAACCATGCCCTTCTATGTTATGGAAGATAGGAGAGAGTATGGTTCTGTAGTACATTCTTGTTTCTGTTGTCCTGATACAGAAGGGTGAATGAGTGTTGCCATCTTAGTACTGGAAGTTTGTTACTGGCAGAATCACAGGGTGAAAAAAAGAAAGAGAAGCTTGAAAAAGAAAACAAATACAGCCACCACATCTAAGGAATGATAAGCTGCAATACATTATTTTTTGGGTTTAGATGCACTTTAAACTCTGGCACACCCTCTTGCCTAGTAAATATTGGTCAGTAGGGCTGCCCATTGTTCCCGGTGACTAATAATGAGGTGTGGGAGGAGGCATGATAGAGCTTAAAGCTGGCCGTGCACCGATCGAAATTCAGCCGATTCAACAGGGAGCAGCCAATTTTAATTAGTGTGTGGCCATCCCTGCTCAACAGAAGTTGATCGTTTGATCAACTTCTGTTGGAGGGACATGTTGGAATTTTTTTTCTTGGTAAGAAGCAGTTGCAGCTGTCAGAATGCAATGCCCCAGTGAGGTGGATTCCTCCATCCACCTTATTTGTGGTCCCAAAAATACATTCTGGGACCCTATCTAGGACCCTCACCTCTGCAGACAACTGAACTATACCACTTTCTTACCATCACTAGCTATTGCACTTTGGTTATCTATGTCATGTACTTATGCCTCCAGTACAATAACTCCTTATTAAGGATCCTCTTAGTTCTGCTTCATTCTCAACATTGTCTGATATTTTCTGAATAAAGGCAATTTGCTATTGATTAGCACTGCTGAGTCCCTTAAGCTTGACAGATAGAAGAGAACAACTTGACGTTTAGCCTGTCCTAACAACCAAATGGATTCTAATTTTCTAGTGGAAGTTCAAAGACTTAAAAGTAACACATAATTGTTTAATAGGGGCCATATATCTTTAATGTTGTTGCTCAAAAACTTACAGTTCAGCCTAAAAAGTGTGATTTGTATTAGAACTTTTTTTCCTTATGGTTACACCTGACCATCGAACCATCTTTTACAGGCTTTTAGGGAAGCCATTGTAGGGTATGTTCACAATAAGGCAGGCTTTGGATTCATTGGATGACACTGTTTTTTAGTGGTTATGCTAATGATCATTTAAGATACTGTCCAGGTTCCTCTGGTATCATGCTGTACCCACCACAATATCCTCTACTCTTTATTGCAGGTGAAGTTTAGTGGCCTTCTAAGGCCATCTTCAGTATATGAGCCCTATATTTTTGTGTATTACATTTTTAGGTTTTAATTAGTGTATACCTGGAGAAACGGCAGCAAATCTGGGCCTTACAAAGATCCATGCTAAGCCATGTATTGTTCATATAGTGAGGTACATATTGGTTGTTTTGAAACTGGTAAGCCCATTACTAAGTGGTCTAAAAGGTAAATTTACTAAAACTGGAATAGACATGATTTGGAGCAGCTGTGCATAGTAACCAATCAGTTTCTAGCCTTAGCTTGTTCAGATAAGCTTTAAAAATGAAAGCTTGAAGCTGATTGGTTGCCATGCACATCTGCTCCAGATTCTGTTCGTTCCAGTCTTAGTAATTGTCCTGTAAGCAAATCTATGTCCTAGAACCAAATTGTAATGAGGGACAGTGGTTTGCTTTCAAAATCATGGAATAAAGCTCTTTGCTGCAGCAATGAAATGGAGTTAGGCTTCACACACACTGGCGTGTTGCTTCTACAGGAGGTTTGTGTTTTGCCTGTAGAAGCAGCTCAGTGTTATCCTATGTGTCTATGTACATTAGGACAATTAGAGGCATATTTTAGGTTCAACATTTAGAGGCAGAAAAAAAACCCCTTCTGGTTTGTGTTTTTGATTGGAGCTTTCTGGCAGAAAAAAACTCTAAACTTTCCTAAACCCGTCTAAACTGTGTATAAAAATGCTCTATATCAGCGCTTTTTTCTGCCAAGGGAACTGGCATTTTTTTTTAATCCCAGTATGCTTGAAGCCTAATATATTGAAATCAACTTGCTCATTGTCTTGAACAGCGGAATAAGCAGATTGCTTGTGATACTGATCTGCTTTCTTGCAACAGTCCAAGATCATTGAATAGGACCACTATAAGGGAGCAAAAGGTGCTCGTATCTTCACAGCCCTGCCATCAAAGAAGCTATGCATGAGGTCATATAGCATATATTTGGAGTGGAGATAACTTCACTTTTGTCTTTGAAAAACAACCCCTTCTAGATCGATTGTAAAGCTTGAACATTTTCAAGATTTTTTTGAAGGTCAAAGTTCATTGCAACTTCATGATCTTACCAGTTTCTGTTCTGTAGATACAGAAACAGACTATTGCAGTAACCCTCAAATTGAGGGCCGAGTAGGGGATATGTCTGCTATAATTATGATCAGTGAGAGAAATATTGTATCCCTAGCACCCTTGTAGACATATTCCCAGTATATCACCAAAGATGAAAGTCTCACTGCACCCACCTAATTTAAATGCTTGGAAAACCAGAAATCATATCTCAAAGATTTTGTGGAAAAGAAGTAAAGCAGTCAAATAAGCAGGAAATAAGATTTTGGGGGGTTTAGTACATACCCTATTGCTGCCATGGTGGTGAGGAAGCAAATTTGGAAATATTTGTCAGTTTTAGAAAATGA